TTTTGTTGTATTTAATTACCCAGTTCCGTAATGAAAAGACATGATTATTATTATTAGTGGTGTTCGACACTATAAGTCGTATGATCGACTGAAAATTATTATTTCTTATGGCAATACGAAGACATTCTCCACAAGGAAAGAGTCTGATTAGAATATTAACCCCTTCGAATCTGCAATAATTGCTGGTAGAAACGCTTTTGATATTGTTGTTGTAAACCGAATAAATGGTTTCAGTGTGTTCAACAGGTAAAGAGTATGATGGTTCTGATAGTATGTTGTAAAGTTGCAATGAATAAAAATTGGGCATATGACGAAGAAATTTCTGCAACATATCGATTAAAATCGAGCACTGAATATTTAATTCAGTGAGTTTGACTAAAGTTATCATGCGATCTACATCGTTAACTAGAAAGTTGTAATGTTAAATGGTGTGTATATTGAGCTTTGTAACGTATAGAATTTGTATTGAACATTTAAAAAGTACACGTCAGCTTTGAATAGTGATATAACGAGCAAAAATAAGACTACTCTCTCGATATGGACAAGTGTCGTCTTCCGGACCGTGTGTACACTGTACAGTCATTGTATCTACAAAAAAATACTCTAAAATTACTATTCGAAAAAACTCTCCAAGTTGTAATTCCTGTACAGTTGAATTGAATGCAACCCATGCACAGCTGCCATTCTCAAAATGTTAATGTGCAAAGAATAATTGTTGTTCAAGTCAAAATGAAAATGTGAATCGATCGATTAGTGCATGATATTCACTACTTTAGCCGGTAGGATCGCTAAAAGAAAACTTACATATTTGATATACATTTGAGGTTAAATGAGAAATAGAATGCTTCGAATTGATCGAAAGAAATTTCTTCCAATCCGAGAGGTATATGTGTCAGATAGATGGAGCAAGAAGCGATTCGATTTTTATGTATTCCAGTTCAAATAGATTCCGACATGATCAACAACGAAGTTGAAATGTATATGATAGAATATTTGAAAGTGTTTCGAAATAACATCGATGATCAATTATAAGATGATTGATCGTTTGACTTTTTTTGCTGTTCGGTTGTAGTCATCGATAGAGAGTCTCGGTGTGGATGTTCTCTTCAACTGGTCACCCACACCTTCAATCTTTGTTGCAATTCATTTGTAAATTAATGTAAAAAGTACTTTAATATAATATCTTCTAATCATAGATTGAAGTTGAATTAAAAACTTTTCAAGAAAAATATTCATTTACACGTTTAAAAAAGGTTGTCTCAAGATTGCAGAGATTATCTAAATCCATCAATTATTTTTTTTCAGCAAATGATATCGGTCCCTTAGCTCAGCCGGTTAGAGCGCCGTGCTAATAACGCGGAGGTCATGAGTTCGATCCTCATAGGGACCAGATTTTTTTAGAAACATAATTACGCAAGTTTATCTCATTCTTCGAATTTGAAAGAAAAACAGAACGAAAAACATAAACAGAACACAACGGCATACATTTAATTTGTTTTGTTTTCCTTTATTTGACTCGGAAATAAATTGAGTTTTTTTCAAACAATAGTGACTGATAATATCCAATTTCACATTTTATTTATTCTATTTATTTCGATTATTTGTCATTTAAGAGGAAATTAGTTGAAAAATCGGATTAACCAATTCAACTCTGTTGTTTAGATTCTTATTTTTTTTTACATATTATCTGATCAAAGGTATATCATCTCAATCGATTTTAAACAGAATTTTTGGTTCAATTCTTTTTAATTTATTCTGATTTGCTTATTATTCTCATAAGATACGTATGTATTCATCAGTGATTTGAAAAGTAGCTTCAGCTAATGCTGAGTCATGAAATAACGTTGGCCAAAATGTTGGAAGCTTCTATTCAGTGAATGATAGTTTTACTATATTCTCTTCTAGGAATGAAATACTTTCATTACTAATTTTTCCATACGAAAATAAGTCTTACTCATTCATATTCAGACTACAATAAACTTAGCTGATAATAGTTTATTTCTAACTGAATAAAATGAGCGCGATTGAATATGACACCATATGCAAAATACATAGTAGTCTATATGTATATATATTATAGTTGGTGAGAATCAGTATCGATGTCTCAATATTCTAGTGAACATCATTATCAGTCTCATCGAATAGTAGTAATACTGTTATTATCACGTCCCTAATTAGTAATAAGAAATACTAATCGATGAAATATTTCATATCAAAAGACGACGATAGTATGTACTACAGCTTAATTGTTATTAAACAGACATTTGTAATTGAAATTAAGAACAACATATATTCAATTAAGCGCATTTTACTGTATTTTATGTTATCTGAAGAAGAAATGATAAATTTATGTTTGTGTGTCAAGCGCACTCTTTTTCTCGATATATATGATTGGCTTACTAACACAACAATCCTATATTCTTGATGGCAAATAAAAAATACTAGTCAGTCATTTAGTTCATATAATCATGAGTGATTCTTTAACTAAATTAGCAACTGAATTAGAATATTTAATTGATAAAACATGGAATTTATATGTAACTGTAACTGATTTTCAACCACAATCTCAATCTCGTGTTGATCAAATTCTTAATGAAATTATTGGTTTATTAAAAGATATTGATCAAACGAAAGGACAATGTCAAGACATACACATTCCTGGTCAATTATTGAAGTAAATTAAAAATAAACTTAATATTTTATCGTTGAAATTTTTATCTTGTATCTTAGTTATGTTGATGATCTTAAAAATCCTCAAATATTTACACGTGATTGTTTACAACGTACGCTTGAACGTAATGAAGAAATAAATGGAAAAAATGAAACACTTGCAAAATTTGCTGATATATTAGCTGTTGAATTAAGTTCACAATTTCCTACACAAATGGCTCAATATCGCTTATGGAAATTAAAATCATCGTTTATTGATCGATGATTAGTCTAGATACAATGTTTTCTTTTTCCTGAATATATTATTCAAAAAAATTTGATCACGTATAAGATTGAATTACAGCTGTGACAAAAATGTGTTAATCAATTCTCTCTGCTTACGCTTATCAAGAAAAAGAACAGGAACATATTAGTAATTCAATAGTTATAACTCTTTGAAATCCTTTCCTGTTTATGAGTTGTCTTTGTTGGATTTTTCAAATAGGAAGAACAAACATATAAATATGTTTGATAATGAACACTTCCTTTAGTTTTTATTGTCTCTGTTCGTCTCTACTGCAAAAAAAAAAACAACTATGGCCGATCTATTATCATTGACCAGTATTGATGCATCAACAGATATTATCTATGGCAAAGTGAGCGATAAATCTCAAGTTAGTCAAGCAGTGGTTTCATAGGTACTCGAAAATTGGACTGCTAGAGATCTTCTATTTATGGATACAGCAATAAAAGAAATATATTTTAATTCGTATCAATTTGCTTGTTGACATACAATAGATGTCAATTAGAATTTCTTTGCTAATTTCGATAAAACTAATGTAGAATATAGAAATAAAGGTTAAATTTTAGACATAGTTTTTAATTAGATAATTCGCATACTTCTAGTGGTTACTATTGAAAATCGTCTTTTATGATAATTTTGATATTTTAAAGTTTCTAACTTTGACCGAACTGACCGGCTCTACAAACTTTGTATGAGTATAGTACAGAAACATAGAGACTGATATATAGACTACAGTAGTATAATATCAGTTTTGAGTATTTTCTTGTTATTAAACAAGAGAATGATAGGAATAATATTATATATCTTTCTTTGCAAGCACATATAAAAACTTGCTGAAAATAGTCTCAAATAATTTGATCTCAATGTGACAAACTATTTTTGCATGTTGTTTATATATGTTTGGAGAGGATACATGAACGATTATCTTTGATAAGAAAAAGTAGAGAACAATAACGTTTATAAACAACATTTTATTTTCATATTCAACATAATTCATCAATGGATGATGATCAATATTCAATCTTCTTGTTTAATGTATTCTTATTATAATGATCGAGGTATTTATTGGAGAGAAGATTATTGATTTTTATTGCTATCCTCATATTCTATTTCGTATAATAAATCGATTGTAAATTAGTTCCTTTAAAAATTACGATACCTACTTATTTTGATTGTGATGAAGCTTATCATTCATTATAAAGTAGCGGTTATTTAGTAATAAAAACCGTTTCATCTAATGGTTTGTTTCAAAATAGAATGATTACCATGTGATTTTATTATTTATTTTAGTTTTATCTTGAAATAGTTCTGTTCATATAAACTTACGTAAAGAATTTATCTCATGCGTTTACACTCGTATGAAATATTTATTGAATTTTAAAAGGTTTAAACCTTCTCCACAGAAATATGATAGTTTTGCTAGATTTTTACTATAGAATGGAATATTGTTAGGAAAATCCAACAAAGTATCTTTCATCTAGGACTATTCTAAAAATTTCATTTAAAATGATTGCTTCTTTCTTTAAATATTCAATGATCAAAAACTAATTAAAATTCGAAAATAGTTGTTTTAACTGAAACTGTTAAAATGTTCTTTTAGAATTATATGATCTTTTTATAAGCAATTTTTTTTTAGATCAGAAATCTTCGATATAGTTTTTCTTTATCGTATGACATCGAAACTTATACTTAGCAAAGCCAATCAAAGCAAATATTTTATTTTGTCTTAAGATCCAGATTATGAAAATAATGATTGTATTGCTAGTAACTAGCTGGTGTGTTATTTTTTGGTCATTGTATATATAAGAAATAAAGAGTACATCAAGTAATTTAATTCCTATTATTACCGAATCCAGTAGTATGAAAATAGGTCAAAATTACCCGAGTGAATACTTATCGTTTGTTTTTCATAAACTAACTATTGTGTTAATGGTGCCTATAATAAAAGAATAGAATATTTGTTCGTTATAAGCTTTATACAATAATAAAACACGACAAAGAAAAAGAAAACAAAAATTGAACGAGTCTAATGTTCTTTGTTATACGTTTATGAATTTTGACGAATTAAAATTAGATAAGGACAAAAATGTGTACTACTACTTGTCATCGATAATTTTGTTGTCGATTGTGAAGTAAAAAATTGATTAGGTACTGGACGTAAAACATGACGTGATGTTGTTGTAAGTATTGATGGAAGTTGAGGAACTATTGGTTCTTGTTTACAATCAATATCATCAGTAATATCATTATGATCAATTGTATCGATTTTAGATTTTTTACTTGTTGATGAAGATAAATTAATAGATTTTCGTTTTCGACGCTTAGGAATCGTTCGATAAAGCATTTGACGAATATTATCATCAGATATAGTTGTAATTGATGATGATGTAAACCAAGGTTTAATTTCCACCTAAAATTCATACAATAAAGAATCAAATGAAGATTATTAACAATATCTCTTCCTCTGTTGAACTATTTCTGATTCTTGGCGAGAATATAACAGATTTGATTCACATGTTGACTACATCTAGATTATCAATAATTTTAAAGATAGATCTTTAAAAACCAAGGTTAGAATCATCTGTAGGTTCCGATAGTTTTTGAAAATCTAATGATTTTTTGATAATTGAACTGTATGGAAAATATCAGTCTGATTGGTTGTACTCTCGCCGAAAGTCAAAAGAGAGGAAATATTCATCGTAACTTAACAAAGAAGAACTAAAAAACCTTTATTCTTACTTTAAATTTTCTAAAACATAAACGTTTTTGAGAAAATTCATCTAATGCAATTTGTGCAATATTTTCAATTAATTCTGGTTTTTGATTAAACCATTGAAATTCTTCATCTGTTATTGGAAATGGTAAACCACGTCTATAGAAACCAAACTGTTCTAAATCATGACGAATTTCATTACCATTACTATTATTATATAACGTCAATAGATCAGTTAAGTCTTTATTAATAAAATATGTTTCATTATTTATTTGTTTATTATATAGAAATAATAGAAAACATTTCATACGATTATTTATTTGACAAAACCAATCCCATTGATTTTTAGCTTTAATTAACATACGATAACGAACAAGTAATGAATTATCAGTACGTGAAGAAAATTCTTTTGCTATTATAGACCATTTTGAACCATGTAAAGTATATTGTTCAAGTAAAAGACGATCTTCATCTGATGTAAATAATCGATGTTTTTCTTTTGTTGTACGATTACCATTTTTTAATGTATCTAAAACACGTTCACGACATTGTCGAGATGAACGTGTTTGTACAGGAGCTGAAACCAATGGCCAATTGGTTATTTTATGTGTTTGTTGATGAATATGTGTTAATAATTGTGCATGTTCATCATTAGACCAACGACCACGTTTACATGATGGATCAATATGTAACCATTGATTATAAATAAATTCACGTGTACGATCACCAAGTTCATAAGCTAATTTATTATATTTTCTATAATAACCTTGATTATCATCTTTCATATTTGATATTATTTGATTACGTTCACTTAATTCTAATGGACGTTTTGAATATTTTTCATTGGTTATCTGAACGAGAAAATATAAAAAAAACATATTTTATTAATATGAAAGAAATTTAAAAAGAGAAAAAAAAAAGAAATAATCGTTTTACTTAAAATATTGTCTTTTGACATGGATGTTCCTGATATTATTAAAACACATAACGAACTGTACGAATTTGAAAGATAAGATTTGTTTGGAAGTTTTCCTCTCTGAGTATGTACTTGAAGTTATAAAAACATAAAATCAATCGGAATAGGGTTTAAAAGTTAGTTTAAATTCATGCTTTAATAACATGTCTGTTTATAATCAATTTCAATGTGTAAAATCATGTTTTGTGGCCATTCGAAATGCCAAGATTATATCAGGGGAAAACACAAATGTTCATTCAACAGATGTGAAGTTTTTTTTTTTTTTGTGTTCTAATTCAAATATGCTTTTCCCTTATAAATGCAACTTACTTCTGGACCGGATTTAATTTTTTTCTACCTACTTTTTTTTTTCCCAAACGGACAATTATATAAATGAAGCTGAAGAAAATAAATTATGAGATATATATATTTATATATATATAGCCTACTTGTTCTTCTTTCTCATAAACCATAACATATATATATATGTGTATATTTATACAATTACTTTAGTTTTTTGGTGGGTATTTGATTGGTGAGAAAAGATGTGTTCTGTGTGAACTCTCACTCTAGAAAATGAAGCGTGAATTATTTGTCTTTTTACCTGCATATAACGTTTTGCACAGAGATACGCACTTCGATCCGTTCCTAATTCTTTTGCAATCGATATCCATCGATCAGCGCTTAATGGTTCATGTTCAACAATTGATATTAAACGACGTTCTTCTTTAATAGTCCATTTTGATTGATTGATTCTTGGATTGCAAAGTTGTTTCCATGCATTTTCACATACATTTGCTGACCATTTGTTGCCAAGATGATAACTGGATATATGATTCCAATCAAGATTGTACTATAGAAATATAAAATAAAAATTTTATTATTTTAACTAAACACTTTGAATAGTTCTAAACTTAAATAAATATGATTTTCTTTTTACAAAGATTTATAGTTCGATCGACTGATAATATTCTTAAATAAAAACAATGTCTAGAAGTTTTTCTATATAGAAACTTATTTTTCTCAGATAAAGTTGTTATAATGAATCGAAAGATATCAACTTGTATTACGATACTTTAATATTATTCATATACCCATTCTAAAATAGAATATACCTACAAAAAAAAAACACTCAAGATAACTATGCAAATCATAACAAAACATGTACGGTTTCTTCAGTGATATACTTTTTTTTTATATATCTATGTTAATGTTTCGTACGATGAAATGAATTGTGTTAATTTTAGTTCTATTAAATTATCTTCATGATATGACAGTCAGAGATTCCAGTTACATAAATCCAAGATTGAAAAAAGAAAGATTCTGACAGGCAATTCATTTTGATATGATCTTTCTAAGAAGAAAGCTTATCGCGCAGCTCTTTTAAGACTAAAATATGGAATTCATTCATAATGCTAATACAAAATATGTACAGTGAAAAATCTCTAGCAGACCATTGTTATTTACCAAGAAAACAATCTGTCTTATTCATTTCAGCATTTTGAACAGAAATTTTTTTATTATTATTTTAGTTATTGATTTAACTGACAAATAAACCTGTAGTATATATTCATAAAATCTACTGTAAATTTCATTACACTATTATATATATCTCGATAAGCTTGCAAATATTGATATTGATTATTGCCCAAGGTTATAACTTAATCAGATTATGCTCTCTATATTGATTATATGATGATTGCAGTAAATCAATGCATCATAACTTATCATTCTTGACATTTTTTTACAAACATATGGTAGCCGTTCGAATTTTGAGAAAGGCTTTGAAATATTTTAGAATAGTCAAAGTCTTATTGTTAATCATAGTCAGTGCTCTTTTGCATTAATAAGAAACTCTGAAGAAGCATCTAACACCTACTGTACTCAATTGCTATGAAGAGGAAAAAAGCCACAAAATCTCAAGTTAAAACTTACATTCAGTATATTTTTCTTCAAAAAATATAATGTGAACTTTACAAAAATCAGATATACAGAATGATGGATAAGACTGAAAATTTCTTACTATTTTTTGTTGAAATATAAAAATGACTTACTTCTTCATTTGATGTTTGATTAAGTTCGTCATTTACAGCTTTTATTAAGTGTTCTCGACAATGTACAACCCACATTTTTTCATTTAATTTTGCACAACCATATTGTGATTGATGATTTGAATATGTTAATGGAAATGACGAAGTTTGTGTAATAAATTGAGCAAATGACATTGTTTTAGGTTCAAGTCTATTATTCGGTATACATTTAATAGAAGGACGAGTAAATAATGATGTAAATGTTAATGAACGTGAAGACGATGATGAATTTATTGGACGTAAACGTTTAAGAATTGATCCTCCACCTGTAGCAAGAATCTTTTGTTTTTGTTCAATATCTGCTAATAATTTATTTAAATTTCTTAAATAAACTTTTGATGAACCCGTAAAACGTGTTGTTGATGTTATTGAACGAGAATTTGGCGATAGTGATGACTGATAATTGCATGATGATGAATCACAACTACTATTACTACTACTACTATTCGTTAACATTGTTTCAAGTTTTTCAATATCCAAAAGTATACTATCCGGCATAAAAGATGACATTTTTGGATAAATATCTAAAAAAAGAAACAACGTTGATTATATATATATCTATATATATAGATTGTTTAATATAATAAACGAATAGGTATACATGAAAACGCTCAATTTTATATATGCTTGAATGTATGTTTGAAAGAAATATATAGCACGCACGTCTACAAAACAAAACAAAAAAAAACAATGTTTCTTTCTTTCTTTTTTTTTTCAAGTTTTGCTATCTAAGCATACATTAATACAAATATCATAAAGACTGAGTGTGCAAAAAAAAAAAACAAACAAACAAATCATTGTTATGGATTAATAGATAGATAGAATAGATAGATAGGTAGAAATACAACACCCGTAAATGAACTTTTGGAAGCTAAATGATGATGCCCGACGCAAACAAAATTATAAGATAGAGAAAAAGAGAGCTTCATGCTAGAATTATTTTTTGTTAGTTTTTTTTTTTTTTTTTTTTTCTTCAAAATTACTATTTCACACTGATACAATAATAAAAAGCACATAAACTACTATCTTCTCTTATTCATTAAGAGATAGATAAAACAAAGAAAAAAAGAATAGAGGAGTTGCAGATCACTAGTAATAACACACACGCACAAAAAAGAATGTTCAACAACAACACACACACCGTAATTACACATCGAAACAAAAAGAAAACGATTATGTTAGGTGAGATGCACTAGAAAGAGAGACCGTAATATGTCTATATACATTGCAACACAAAATATATATATATATCTATTTATGTGAAAATCTAACGATCATGGTTAAATGAGAATAAGAAGAAAAATTTTTAGCCAAGCCAAACAGGATGAAAACATGATGGTAATGGAATCATAGTAGCAGCTTGAATAGAGAAGAAGAAAAAAACATAAATATTGTAATTTTGTTTTAATCAAAATTAATATGAATAAAATTACCTGCAAAAATCACGACCCATTTCAAACCAATAAATGGTTGACAATAAATATGATGTTGAGCTTGTTGTTGTTGTTGTTGGGATTGAGCTTGTTGAGTATTTGCTGTACAAAAGCCTATTGTTAGATTATAAAAAGAATATTTCGAATCGGTTAGTTTTTTTTTTCTTTTGTTGTTGCAAAGAGAAAAAAAAATCTAACTTACGAATAATGCCTGGTGGAATAGGTCGATAAATTGTCGGTGGAAACGGATGAAATGTAGTTGATGTATCTGGAAAAAGTAATCGATGTGTTGGATGACCGGGTGGAACCAATGGGAATAAAGTAGGATGGAAAAAAGGTGAAGATTTTATTTGATGTCGAAGTGTTGCTTGTTTTTGAGCATACATTATTCGATAGAGTTTATACCAATTTTTTCCATGTGTTGAACTGTCTGGAGTATGTGGAATTGAAACTAAAGCTATAAATAATTGAGAAAATCAATTTAAGATCTAATCTTATGAACATATATCGTGGCGTCTTGGCAACGGACAAAAAAAACTACTCTTGCCTTTCGGCAGATTCAGTAACACGATATCTTCCTCTACAATCGATTCTAGCTGTACATTTGAACAGACAACCAACTTGACGCAAAGTTCTTGTGACTAATTTCTTGAGCTTCTCACACACACTAACAGGTGTATGTGACAATGTGCTCAGCTTTCTGACGAACAATGTAGATGTCCTTTTTTGAACGATTCTCGCTGGAATACATGTTTATAGAAGAAAAATGTTCTAGTCTTTTGATCTCAAATTCAGATTGAAGAATAATTTATTTAATCATGTCTTAATGAACGTAAGAATTTCTACCTTATATACTTCAACAATGTTCTTAGTCCGTATTACACAAAATAGTATCTTTAATGTCTATAAAACACCTTAATCATCAAGTAGAAAAAATATTGTTTTCGCTATTTTTGTTTAATGAAAGTTATTCAATGAGTTTTGAAAATCAATCTTCGTTTTTTTTTTATAACTACATGAATACAAACAAATAATAAAACTAAGATTAGTAAACATTTAACTACGAAAAATATACGAAATATGTCATAACAATATAAAAAGAAAACCGAGATAAGGCAAATGTCATGGATACATCAAATCTGTCATCATTTCTAATTATTAATTGTTATCGCCTTTTAAAATAGAATAAATTGTAACAGGTCATGGCCTATCTATGACCATAGCCACAATATATATCTTTTGTTGTGTACAAAAAATAGAAAAAAAGTATTCGATAAATTCTTACCAGCTTTTTCAAAATCTCGAATACATAAATCATGCCAAAGTAGATTGTCATTTAATGTATTGTGAATATCACGACATGTAGATTGTAAAGCCAATAATGATTTAATCGGTAGATATTTAGCTAAACGAAGCTAAAAGAAGAAGAAAAAAAACAGAATATATAATAATTAAAATCATATTGAATTAACACTACATTCTATTTTCGATAGTCAGGCTTCATCTTGCCGATCAGTTAAAAGATGATATTCACGATTTCGTAAAAGACAAAGAATAACCTATGAGACCTGTTATTCAAACCATATATTTCATAATCACTCCTCAAGGTCAACTTTTTCGATATAAAATATGCAATAATCTTTTCAAGTTTACGACAATCAGAGATTATTCTTTGAATGGTACAATGACTTAGATTAGTTTGCATTTCGTCTAGTGTAATATAAAGATCATCTTTCAATCATTCTGTGAAATACAATCTGACTATCAAAAATTCTAAAAAATATAGTGTAGTAAGGACTTAAACAAAGAAGCGAAAATTTTTCCTATCCATTTATATCAATACTGAATAATTTTTGATCAAAATTTTAATATTATTATATCAAATGAAGAATTGTGAAATATTATAGAGCATTGTTTGGACTATCAGAATGCATGTAGAGAAAATTTCTTCGATCCTTCTATAAGGTATTATAGTATCAATTCCGCTACTTTCGGTAAAACCGAAATATAGACAAGCATAAATAATGAACTTACTTTTATTTCATTTGGTAATCCGATTAATGTTGCACTCGATCGTTGACCTGATTCTAAGAAGATTTAAGAATAAAAATCATCCATTTTTTTTTTCTATCGCTTACCTTCTAGTAATTTACATAGAAGACGATTAGCCAAATTGTCTTTAAATGATCGTGATAAGTTCCGAAGGTTATGATAAGGAAAAGCTGCATTTAAAGTTGTTGCTTAAAGAAAAAACATAACAAAAAAAAAAAATTATCAATTGTAAATTTACTGAAGATAATAGATATTTAAACTTCTACAATAGATAAAAATATGAGATTACCCATAAAATCAGTGTGTTATAAAATTCTTTGGCATCACAGAATGATTTTGTATCTTATCTTTGATTTCCATGAACAGAGAGAGAGAGAAAAAAAAAAGACGCATTCTTAATTCATCTTCATTAGCATACCCATTACATCAAAAGTATAAGATGAACTGAAGTAGATTTAATTCAGAAGTGCTTACAGAAAATCATATGAATTTTGATTAGACATGATTAATAGTCATGAACGAGATCAAAAATACTACAAACTGCTTGAGCAATCTATCAATAGACTCGTATAAATACGTAGACGATATAATCCTGAACATAAGTTTGTCCACATCATCAGACCTTAGCCAATATCGTGGAATCATCAGGATCTCACTTGCTTGAATGAAAATCGAATTATACCCGATGGAATCTATTTTTGCTGTAGGCTTCATAATCTTAACAGGTTGCCTATAAAAGTTTATCTTGTTTCTTATCAAATACATAATTAATTCTGAATAATTTCAAAAGAAATTTTTGTGCTCAATATATAGTTTTTCTTCATCGACAAGATAAGCTCATTTGCTCAAATATTGACGTCTCGGCATTCTCAACCCTTACAGAATGATTATTCGATCAATTTATTGAACTAACACTGACAAGGAAAAACAGTTTGAATCCTTTGCTTATTGCTATGGAGATACTACATTTTTAGGGTAATTTTTATGTTAATGCTGTGATTCTCTTTGAAACACTAACTTTTGAATTTCTACTTTAAATCTTGCACATAGAAAGATCTGAATAAGAATAGTCTATTGTGAAAGTTTGTCTCTGTCGTAAAATAGAAACATAAAATCTCTCGGTGTGTTTGAGCAATGTAAACGATAAGATTTTGACATAGTTGAATTTCAATTGGAAAACAAATTTTCTTAGCCTTCCTGAGAAAGACTACAACATTGTGGTAACTCATAGATCATTAGGATCTACATGATACAAACATTATCGAAACTAAAGCAAATAATCCATTAGGGAACTTTCTTCATCAGGTTATCATAATACATCAGTCAATTCACAATGTCCTTTTTCATCTCATTGAGAACTTTGTTAATGCAAAATCTGAAGCCAAAACTCGATATCTCGAAAACAAAGGTCCGCAAGGCCAATCCATTGTAGACTTTTTTTTTTATTGCTCCTCAAATCAACATCACTTCGATTTGACACATGCAAAAGTTCTTCAACGGAGAAAGATGAAAGACTTTTAGTTCAGGATTGTACATTACAAATGTTCAGAGTCAAAAAAACATTTTATTTGTAAAATATAACAATTTTTTTTTACCTTGTTTTTGTGTATATAAATAATTTCCAATATTAAATGATAATTTTCCACATGCTTGTGAAATTGAATTCACAACACCTTAAAACAAATATTCATAGATTTAAAATAAGATTAAAAAAAGAATCTTTTTTTTTTTCTCTCAAAATTACCATCAATCGTTACTAATGAATCTGTTTTCATAATTGCTAATGAACATCTAATACGTTCTTCTTCACATAATTTATGTCGATAACGAATAACATAAAATGTTGATGATTTTCGTGCTATTGTTAAATCATAATCATTTTCTGCATCCTAATATATAAAACATAAAGAATATATTTATATATATGAATTAAAATATAAAAATTTCGTTTTACCATTTGAAAACCACTTTCAAGCATTAATGCATGTATAGCCAAAACAATAAAATCAAAATCATCCTGTGGATGTGAATATTCCACAAGACGATGCATTAATAATGGATATGTATGAAGATCTCGTACTTCATCAAGTGTTAATGGTTGATCTAATGATAATAATGATATTGATCCATTATTTGTTTCATTTAATATATGAATTGTATCTCGAATAAGAAGATTATATTCTGACATTGTCTTTTCTTCATCTAATGTATTTATGCCATTAAGTGATAAATGAAAATTTGACCTAAAATATCACATAGAAAAAAAGAAATTTTTGTGTTCTTTATATTTTGTAATAACAATAAAAAAATAAAATAAACATTTACTTTCTCAAGGATAAAAAACGTTTTTGAATTTTATTTTTTAATTCAAAAATTGTTAATTCATCATGAATATCATCGAATGTTATTGAAAATGTTTGACTATTAATTTTAAATCGAAATTTCATTGTATTAAACACAATAAACAAAAAAAAAAAAAGGAAGAACGTGATGAAATTTCCTTTTCTTTTTTTTTTCTTCTTTTGCAGCTAGATAGCGCTGTTTCGCTTTTCTTCTTGTTTAAATGAATCAGGGCAAATAAATGGATTCACATGATCGTTTTTTCATTGGTTAATATCAATCAACCAATCATATTGAATAGTGTCGCTACAATGGCATGTCTTTGTTTTTTTCTTGTTGTTGTTTTTTTCCTCTTTTTTCATATCTCATTAGAATTCTATAGGCGCAATTATGAGTGACCGAGGGGTAAGCTTAGTATAAAAAAAAGAACTTTGATATTTATTGAAAACGATTTATTTTTCGAATTTTAGTATTCAAAAGAACGAGATACAAGACGATCTCGACGTCGATCACCTACAAGCCGATCACCATCACCACGAAGATAGTAGGTTTAAAATTCTAACAAATGTGAGACGTTATTCGGTATATAAGGAGGATTTTAGAGTCATCGAATATTTCTTTTTCCTCGTACATATTATAAAATATTTCTTGTTTAAAAGCTTTCATTGTGAAATTAACCGTAAATATGATTCATCAGAAGATTGAGCTACTAGCCAAAATGTACAAAATCACTTGCGTAGCGTATAGAGAGCTGCGGTAAGTTCAGGTACGCTATGTAGATGAACAAGTTAATGATCAAGGTTTTAGCTATTCTAAGAAACAAAGTCAACGTACAGTTATTTCTTGTTGCTTACTTTGACATCACTCGATGATTCATCAATTAAAAGCTTTCGTGTGATTGCACGTACTATTATGTTTACAAAAAAGGAAATTGAATGGTTGATTGATAAATAAAAGTTGTCAAACTAATAATAACACCAAAATCTCCAGCTGTATGGAATAGTTTTAGTTGTATTTATACAAGTGAGTAAGAAGCTGCGAGTCCCAGTTTTCATGGTTAGATTGAATCGCGACACCAAATTTTTAAAAAGATTCATTCTGCAGAAGCTCAGTTTTCAAAAAAAATATTTCGACCTGAAACTTCGCATACATGATAGTCTCGATGAGACTATCTCATGTACAAAGTGTCGTCAGTTGTAAACATCGCCTTGCTAAGATCGACATTTCTCAGAAAAATATACGCTTTTCGTACGGTGTTGTAACTCTATACATTAAATAGTTCAATAGAGACCTTTATGTGTACAAAACTTCCGGTTGAAATTTTTGTCAAAACATGAACAGAAAACCTTCGCCTGTTACGCCACCTCTAATGATCTCGTACATATTAGCAAACGGAAGGGATCACATGGATATGTTCTTTTATGAGAAGCATTGGCTCTGACATTTGACTTTCATTCCATCAGATTTATGAATTTATATAGTGCATCAAAGTTCTTGTCGTAAAATTTCTAGAAGCTAATACAAGCAGACTTAGAAAACATTTTTGAGGATATATTGAATTTTGTATGATTAAATATTGGGTCATACTTTGTCAATGATACGAAGAAGCATTAACCTTTCTATTCTTAACTTCCCGTTTGCTGATTCTTTAAAGATTGTTGAGAGATTCTCAACACTAGAATAGTACCGAAAAAGAATTTATGCCTATATGATTAAACTCCACAGACGGTGGAAAATATTTCGAGAAGAATGCAATTTTTTTGTTTTAGACAGCTTTTTTAATATTCTTAGAATCTCAAGACTTATGAACAAAATTTTATATCAAAAATTATTCGTTTAATTTTCCTATTAAAGTTCTTGTAGCTTTGTAGACAAAGTCTACGACTTGAAATCCTTTTATTAATTGTTGTAATTAATAAGTTCGAAATATGATCTCAAAATATTATGAATAACTTCAAATGAGTTAGCTTGAGAGAGATATTTTAAACAATACACTTGCATTTAGTTCGATTCACAAGCAGATTGATAGAATAAATTTGTTTGAATTCGTTTACTTTTCAAATAGTTCTCGTTCACCATCACCTCCTCGAGCAAAACGTAGTTCACCAAATGGTCGTCGTCCACCAAGTGAAGTTCATCGAGAAAATCCTATTCCAAGTGCTTGTCTTGGTGTATTTGGATTATCACAATATACAACTGAACGCGATCTTAAAGGTTTGTTATAATCATTAAAAATAAAATAAAAAAACATTCTTTATTTTTAGATTTATTTCACAAATTTGGTCGTGTCAAAGATGTTCAAGTTGTAATTGATAAAAAAACAAATAAATCACGAGGTTTTGGTTTTGTTTATTTTGAAGATGTTGAAAGTGCTACACGAGTATGAAAAAATACAAAATGTACTTTGGTATTTTGTTTTCCTAAAATGTATTCTTATGATATTAGGCAAAAGAAGCACTTGGTTCAGTTGAACTTGATCATCATCGTTTACGTATTGATTATTCAGTAACTAAACGTGCACATACACCAAGTATTTATTTTGATTTATTTATATTTATTTTTGATAACGTCTGTATTTTTTTTTAAAGCACCTGGAATTTATATGGGTGTTCGTACAACATCTTATCATCGTTCAAATGGTCATAGTTATCGTCGTTCACCATCATCAGATAGAAAATCATATCATCGACGACATCATCATCATCGTCATCGTCATGATTATTCGTCGAGGTTAGTTTATTTCTTTTTCTTTTGTTTATTTAATGAATATTTTATAGATCACGTTCACGTAGTCGAAGTCGATCAAAATCTCGACGTGGTGAACGTCGACGTCGAAGTCCCGGCTATGCATATGATTAATATAAAATGGTAATAAATTATAAGAGAAACATAGAAAGCATCGAGTATACGAGGCACTTTATTGAAAATTTCTTTTTTTTATGCCGTCAAATACGGACTTGTTACCACTATCGTATGATAGTTGTCGGCATTTTTGTTTCAATGAATCATTCAGTTTTTTCTAAATTTACTTATTTCAATATGATATGGTATTGATCAACTGAAATTTTATAAAGCCAAATTTCTATTGCAACTTTTTATTCTGTACACAAACATAACGTTTATTTAATCAAAAAAAAAGAAGAACATTTTTAGCAGTTTCCAGTGCCTTGACATATTTGTTTTGAAAAAAATTCACCTGTGAACTCCTGAGGTCAGTTTTTCGCATGAAAAATATTTTTCTAAATCTTTCCTAAAATATTTTTAATTCAATGTGGTGTCGAACACCGACTATGAATATCATATTAATTTTGTTTTACAATTGTGTTATGGCTCAAATAAAGGAAAGAAAGTTTTTTTTTTATCAAGTGCCTTGTATACATGATGGTTTCATAATTACTCACTTAAATATTCAATTAAAGTTAAGGTTTCAATTTTTTTATTATAGGTATATGAGATGAATCTCATGTGGGTGAGTGTGTAGTCTACATTCTGTCTTCATTTTTTTTCTATGAAAAAAAAAAAAACACTATGAAAATTTTTCTTCTCTCTGCGATTATGTTTACTCATAGATGGTTTCTGTTTCTTTTCTTATCTGTTTGTGTATGTGTTTCTGCGCTACACTAAATCATCAATTTTTGTTCTTGAACGACAAAATTCTCAATTTTGATTGTTTTTCTTGTTTTTGTTTTTCTTTTCTTCATTCTATGTGTATCAAGAAAAAAAAAAAAAGGAACGTATATAAACAAGAAAGAAGACTTATATATTATCAAGATACAAGTATATATGAAGATTGTTCCAGAAAAAAAGAAATAAAAGAAAATTCCTAAGATGGGTATATGGATTGTTCTAGATCAATGAAGAATTTTAAAGGAAAAAAAAATGGAAAAGCGTGAGTTATTGATTATTTATATTTGATAGTCACTTGTGCAATGTGTTTATAAAATAAAAAAAATATTTGCTATTTTCTAATCAGCATTCATGATAGAAATATATATATATATGACATAAAAAAACTCTTCTGTTTGTTTCATTAAAGAAATTGTTGATGATTAATAGAATACAAGTATATAATTTGTTGATGACGTTAAATATTATTAAAATGGTTGCAAATGAATAAAAGTTATATTTCTTCTAGGTTTATTGTTTATTTTTAATACCAACTTCAGCAAGCATATTTTCAATAAGAAAGAACATGTATGACGGCAGTTGCTGATTTACGACTGTAAGGTGAAAAGAAAAAGTTTAGAAACGAAGTGCTTTTGACTTTTTTCATTAATAGTAATAGCTACAACAAGTCGGAGACAAGAATTTTTTAGCTGAAACAATTTTCTATTAGGAAAAGTACTTCTCAAATTTGCATTAGCAGGTTTGGATGAAAGGTATTCAGAAAATCAAGACTTCTCGCAAACAAGTTTTCTGTTTTTTCTTTAATTTGTTATACACTTTGGGGTGTTTCGTAGGATGAGTGCAATTCGCGAAGCATAGGTCGTGGAGAGTTCGAACATATTTTACTTTGTTCAGAAATGTTTTCTCGATGAAATGAATTTGTTTTCAAAATGTTTTTGATAGAATCCAAAAAAAAAAAACTTGTTAATGACAATGAGACATGCAGTTCTTCTGATAGGAAATTGTCTCAGCTGATCAAATACTTTATCTCATTACATTTTGTATAGTCACAATCAACGACCGAAAGTGGTTGTCTAGGACGCATTATCCTACTGTATTCACATAAGCTTCATCTGACTCAAATCAAAATGGCAGGACTTAATTTGCTTTGTAAACGTATGAAATATTATTTTTTTTTTTATTTATAAAACACGGTACCCATTGTTCAATATATTGTTGATTAAATCTAAATAACCAAAAAAACAGGAATTGTTTTTTAAATAAATACTTATTATTAAATTTGTTGCTGAATTCGAAACACAAATGCTATGTGCTAGATCAATGGAACTCTATTTATCACCAAATGTGATTCTGTAGGATAATCGTTCACGTTATTCGTGTTTGAACGTATTATGAATTTTCGAATTGAGTTGATCAATCAGTTTCATAATAATATTGATCTAATGATGGTGAACAAACAAAGTTTTCTATTCAGATTTTTTTGCAAAATAACGATTGATGATTAATATTTATAGACATGTCGAGTTGTTGCCAATTTTTTTTTTGTTATCGATACGCATGGTTCTGTGTAAAAAGAAACAGATGAGAGAAATTATACAAAAGGAAGCCAATAAATTTGTTTCTCTCATGTTCTATGTCTTTTTCTTTTTATTAAATTAAAACATATTTCATTTCGATCGAAATACAATGGCAGAACAAATAGCAACTCCAAATCATCCAACATTACCAATAATAGTTCCTGCCAATGATATAGATCAGATAAAATTAAATGTAGGTACTACCGGTATAACAGATAATGTTCTTCGAAATGTAGCAATACCAGGTACGTCAGGACATCATGTAAGATACTTGGCAACACGTTTTATATTTAGTGGAACCAGTTATAGTACCACAACGGAATGATGTGAGTCTCTTATTCAGATTTAAAAATTAAATGTTCTTCAACGTAAAAACAAATATAAATGTAAAGAATAAAAAAAGAAACGAGAATGTCAAAAAAAAAGAAACTAAACGTTAAGTAGGAAAAAGAATTGAATGAAAAAATCGATATGATGTTTAGAAAAAAAGAAAAAAAGTAATGACTATATTTACTTAACTGATCGTTAGTAACTGTTGGTCGGTCGTGAAGTGAGACGTAAAGCATATAATTTTTAAAAATCAAACCAACATCTTTTAATAATTATCTATAGTACGAACTACCACCTGTAATGACAGCAGCTAAATATGGTGCATTATTTCCACATGTTGCTACACGAGGAAAAGATCTTCTACATATACTAGTACATGGTGCAGCTAATTTACCTTTGGTTGACGGACGTCAGCCACGATGTTATGTTACAGGGTAATTATTTGATTTGTTTTTCTTTGTTTTTTATATGTAATATGTCATATTTGATATATTTAGACAAAGTCGTTCGACTATGGCAACACAAGATATTGGAGAAACAATTAATGCAACAAATGTTATTGAAGGTGTTTCACCTCATTGGAATGAAATGATATATGCTGATATATTCGAAGAAACTAATCATGCTGAAGGTAAAATTTAAGAAGAGAATATTTTCAAAAATATAAATATTTTTTACATAGAGGTTATCATATTGATTATTGATGAACCACGACAACGAACAATAGCTGAACATCGTTTTCCATGGCGATGGTTAGAACCATTTTATCAATATCATGTAAATTTACAGCATACATCAAAACAAACAGCTCAAACTACTTCTCTATTTCTATCTATAATGCGTAAACAAAGTACTTTATCAAAAGAAGATATACGTTATTTTGGTTTGGAAGTATTACTTAATCGATTTGATGTAACATTACCAAAAAAACGAGTTTTATATGCTATTGGCCGTATTATACCTGACTATGAAACTTATAAGTATGTGTCTTTTTTTCTTATAGGTGAGTGTATAAATAAACTAATAAAATTTTTTTATATATATATTTTTAGACATGATTATTTACGTAATCTTGATAATCCAAAATTGGGTATTGATTTTAAAAAAATAAATATTCCAACAGCACAAGATTTTGCTATAGCTGATTATTCATTTACTGGTTATCCTCAAACATCATTAGCATCAAAAGAAGTATATTATTTTAAAATTAATATTAATAAAAAAACTTTTATTTTGTCTATGAATTTTTTCATTTTTGTTTTAGTCAAAACTTCCAACATGGATGCATGATTATTTATTTTCACATGAACATGAAAAAGATAATATGTTTTCAAATAATTCTGCAATTGTTATTGAATTTTATCCATTTCAACCCATTGCTAATAATCCAAATTGGCGTATAAAAACTTTAATTGGATGGATAACTATTCGTTTAGATACACGAACATATGATGCATTAACAGCACCAAGTTCTTCTGAAGGAATGAGAACAGAAGGTAAATTATCTTTAATTTTTCTTTATTTAATTGATTTTATTTATTTAAAAGGACTTTTGGTTGAAACTGATGGTGAATTAGTTGCAGAAAATACAAAATATTTAACTGCTGAACTATTACTTCGTCTTGTATCCGAAAGACATCCAGGAAAAAATCTTCTTGCATATGCTGCTAGTAATCTACCAATTTTACCTTCATACTATGTCGAAGGTGTTCGACATGGTGGTGCTCCACCTGTATATATGCAAGTTACTGTACCAAAAAAAAACTTTCTACCTGCAATACAAACACCAGTAACACAAGCACCAACAACACAAGTACCAATGACACAAACACCAATAGGACAATCTATTATAAATCCAACTCTACCAGTAAGAAAAAGATTTTTTTTTTCATACTAATAATCAAGTTTTAAGTGTTTTCTTGCCTTTTTTTATTTTCCTATATCAGATGTTCATTTTTTTTTGCTTAATCATAGATTTTCAATCTTGATATGGTGAGTTATGAAAGTGTTACCAGAGTATCTGTTCTGTGTTGATCATATATCGCTTACGCTAAACAACTTCCATTTACCTTATCACACATTAATTGTTCATAATACTTAGATACCTAGATCATATGAAATAGAAATTCCTTTGCTAATATCTGTCCATAGAATGTTTTATTATCTCATATATATATATTAATATAGTAACCGGTAAAATTTTCTTCCATAAGCAAAAAATTAGAGAAACTATTTCAAGAAATGTTCAAATCGAATCTCACAAGAGATTTTAAAAATTTTATAAAACAGTTGATACTTATGAGCAACTTTCACAAAGTTATTATTATTTTATTAGAATGGCAATGTGCAGAAACAAAGAAAAAAAACATCAGGTTGAAATTTTGAAATTCGAGTTTTTACGATATGTCTTACAAAGACTAAAATGATAATAAATTTTAAAGAAAAACTAGAATTCAAGTCTTTTTAATTGTAAATTGTGAAATATTAACAAAAAGACTTATAGAGTTGCTATTAAATACGTTCACTTAATTATAAAATCAAATCAAAAATGACTTTTAAAATCGATTAGAAGTATTAATATACTTTAATTTTTATATAATAGTTATTAAAAACCTCCATACCTGTAAGATAAACAGAAAAAATAAAAACCATTTAACTTTTCTCTTTTTTTTTCTTACACGAAAACGAAATAATTTTTCTTTCATCAAAAATAATTTTTCACTTGTCGGATGGCATGCTGTGTTGGTTGCCAATGAAGCATAATAATACATATGCATATGTCTTATAATCCTAAATACAAAAAACGATGGGTAATAGTTCCCAAGCCATCTTATGCTTTGAATAATTCATTAGCAAATTATTCATTTGTATGTTTTCTTACAGGGATTAAAAGTAATCTAACATAATTTTTTTTTTTACTTTAAGCTAGGTCAACAGACAGTTCTGGCACCTCAATTCTATCAGTCACAACCATACGAAGTATGATTATTAATTTTTTTTTTTTATTAAGATAAATATTCTATTTTATTTTGCAAGGTTGTACCAACACTTCAATATGTCGACAGATCCGAGGTAAATGATCTTTTTGTTTTGTTATTATTTTTCATTAAAAAATATTTTTTTTTCAAAATCAATTAAATTAGGGTGTTCGTTTTCGAATTCCACGCGTTAATCTATACGATTTGGATGATATTCCAACGGAGTATCGTGCTATGTTAGCAACGAATTATCCGCCACGTCGTGATGATGATATTGATGGTTGGTTTGATTATTTTCAACGTGAAATTGCTGTTTATAAACAAGCTATTCGACGTGTTATACAAGATGTTGCACAATTACGTGATCAACATAAAACTTTAACTGCTGCAAATAATGATCTAAAAGTTAAAATGGAAAATTTTGATAAGAAAAAAAAAGTTTTATATGAAATTTTTGAAGGTGATAAAATTGATAAAACAAAAATGCAAGATATATTTAGTAAGAAAAGAAATCTTTAAAATTTATTTCTGAACATTAATTGATTTAATTTAGATCGTTTATCTGCAAAGATATCTGCTCAACAACTTGAATTAAAAGAAAATCATGCTAAAATAAATAACTATGAGAAAGAATTAGCTCGAGTATGTTGAATTCGAATAAATCTATTTTTTTTCCTTTTATTTTCACTTGACAATTTAATTTTTTTTTTACTATTATAGAGAAGTGAATTACGTGCTCAATACGATGCATTAGTTCGAACAACTCAAGCGAGAGAATTAGAAATAAAAGTTATGAAAGAACGTTTGTTAAAAGCTGATGGACTTGAAGAAACAGTTCGACGACAAGAACTTGTAATTGAAAAACTTGAAGCTATGATTAGTAATTATATGAAAGAAAAACGATTAAGAGGTAAAAATTAATTTTATCTTAGAACTTTTCAAAATATTTGTTTGTACATTTAGGAGCATTCAATGATGTTGATAGAACTTTCTTATCTGAACATGCTGCAATTGGATTAGAAACTCAACAACTTCAAGTAAATTTTATCAAAATTTTGACCTTTATTAATAGAAAATAAATTGTATTTGTTGTAGAGACGAGTACCTCCTACACGATATTCTGCAACAGTAACAAATCAACGAGATGATTTAGTACGACAAAATTTAGTTTATCAACAAGAATTAGCTAATCTCAAAGCACGAGTAAGATATTATAATTAGAAATTAAGTATTGATTTAAACTTTCTTTGACTTTTTTTTATAGTTTCAAGAAAATGCTGCTTCATGGGGTAGAGAAAAAGCTGAACTTCTTTCAAAAATTAATGATATTGATCAACCAGTCAGTTAATATTATATGATATCACTATTGATTATTAATTTTGCATTTTGTTTAGATGAACACACCAAGACCACGAAAACTTGAACCTCTTTAAATGTTTATTTTCTTGTTCAATAATAAAAAAACAGAAGTTTTTCTTCACAACTGAGAATAATAAACAAACAAAAAATATCTGACAAGTAAAAATATGCATATGAATACCAAACACAAAAAAAAAAAAATATAAATATATATATTTATCATTGAAACTTAATTCATATCAGAACCATAGCCACTACTAGCTGCTGAAAGAGGCGTGTTACAAGTTGATGATGTAACATTGACATTTGAAATATTTTTTTCCTTTAATTGCATGTCGATACGACGTAAATCATCAGTAATTATTTCTATTTGATGTTTATTTTCATGATATTGTTGACGATTACAAGGATGACGATAATTTTTTAATTTATATTCAATTTCATATAATCGTTCATTGATTATAGAAGTTTTTTCATGACGTAGTTTAAAATTTACTTGAAATTTTAACCAAGTAACTATGTAAAAAAAAGAAAAAAAATGAGAAATGATTAAATATTCAAATAAAAAACGATTGATCTTTCTTAACAGTTACATTACATTGCAATTTGATAACATAGGAAAAATCTAATTTAAACATTTCGAATTTCGGTCATACAATGAGTACAACAATGATTCAACAAGATATATTTTCAAATTTTTTTTTTCGTTGCCGTAAGTCTTAGAAAGAATCCAATTAGAGAAAATAGTTTTCAACAATAACAATAAGAAAATAATAATGATTATCTAGTCTCTAAAGATAGGAACTTCGGAAAACTAAAACACTAGTTTTTCAACACGTAAATCTAGCGCTTACAGCACTGGAATAAACTGAAAATAATACATTTGCATGTCTATGTGTTTTAATCATAAAACAATCTTTCGTATTATTGACTCAAAACTGATCACTAGTTGAAAAAAAAGCAAGTAATTGATTATACATATAAGGAACGAATACACAAGAGACAGCAAGAATAAATTTACCTTTCGATAAAAGCAAATTATTTGTTCTATAATCACGATTTTTCCAATCAATTTCATGTCTACTATGACATTTGTTACATAAAAGTATATCACAATGACAGCAAAGTTCAAGTTTTTGATACGATTTACAATCATAACATTTTGCATGAATATTAGTCGATCGATTTTCATTAAATTTTTCTTGTCGAAATTGTTCAACAAGTGATAATACAATACGATTAACAGGTAAAATTTGTCCAATAAAATGATATCGACAAAGTGGACATATTACAAACGAACGATTATTTATTATTGAATGAAGACATTTGCAACAAAATGTATGTGAACATGGTAATAAACGAGGATCATCAAATAGATCCATACATATTGGACATGTCAATGTTTCTTCAAATGATGGCATTTCGAAATTCTGAAATGAAGAACTAATCATATTTCTAGATACAGGCAAGGAAAATACAAAGAAAAAAAAAAGAAAGGAAAGGATATTTATTTTTAAAATTAAAGTCCTTCGTAAAAGCGTCCAAGAAAAGTTGTTGGTTTCTTTTTATATGTATTTTTCTTGCTATCCATAGTAGCAACATTATGTTGTTGTCGCCATATTTCAGCTGTTTCAACAAAATCCATTTGACCACGTACAACAAGTAAATCAATAACACGTAAATCCGTTACATCTTTATTACGCATAAAATTTTCCTATATATATATATATATCAAATGAAATTTTGTCAATTGATAAACAAAAATTTTGTTTAATCTAACAATCTACCTTAATAACATTACGTAAATGTGCTTCAGTCCAATTATTTTTAATATAATCAACACGAAGATAAGGTATTTGTCGAAGCCAAATTTTATAAAGATTTAAAACACGTCGTTTAGCTTCAGCATGATCTGTTGAAAGAACAGGTCGAACTTGTTTTAATGTTTGAGGTAAACGAGTAGTCAATGACATAGACTATATTTATTATCTAAAATTTTAATAGATATATATATATATACTCGTTTCAATGTTGTTGTTTTTTTTTTCTACAGAAAATAACACATCGATGAGAAGCTAGCGCCATGACCAATCATATCTCAAATATAACTAACCAATAGAAAAAATACCGAGCACAATCCGCAAAATATCGAACTTTTCCTTGGTTACTCAAACAAATGCAGTTCAAAAACAACTTAAATTGTAATTTTAAATAAGCCATAATCTACAAAGCCAGTCTTTGAACAATAAACATATGTATTGGATGCAGAGTTTGATTCTTGATCGAATAATATATACATCATGTGCTGAACATACTTGTACTTTTACTGTCACAGTATGGTTTTCAAAAGGTTTATTTTATATGCAAAAAAAATATACTATTTAATTTTTTTTATAAACAACAACAATAACAAAAAGAAAGAGATCAACTCAAATTCCACAAGAAAAACAAGTGATTCAGAATTCATTTGACGTCTTGTTGCTGCCAAACGTCATAATTATGGATGCATACATAAATGCTCTTTTTATCACTATCTATTGATGAATTTTCATTAAAAATGAATTCTTTTAGTAAAAGAATATTGCTTTTCATCTCTATGATCTATTCTCAAGTATAATAATTCATTTTGGAGCAAAAAAAACCTCGTAAAACACTATATCATCATCGTCACATGCTAAGTAAATATAGTTCGATTGATACAATTACTGAATTTATCTTTTTTTCTCTCCTTCGTTTATTGTTCTGCCGATTGTAGTGTACTTTCGAGTTATTGAAATCATTTGCGTTTAATATTCTTCGAAATATAGCTCAGCCTCTAGCAACGTGGGTATGAGTGTGAACGAAAAGAAGACAGCTACACCCCAAGAAAAGTAATCCATGGTGACAGTAGAATCATAACGCAAGGCAACATTTTTATCGTATGAAACTAAAGAAGACAGCTCTCTCCCTTTAAAAGTATGTCTTCAAAGTAAATATCCTAACGTATGAAAGAGAAAGCATTACATTCAGCAACTGTCACACATACCTGAAATCACGTGATATGTTTGAATGATTTTCGAGGAATATTCTTAATCCTTAGAATTATTCATTAATGATCATTTCATGGTTTTTTTCGAGAGATTTTATAATTTAATGAAAGAATATAGTATTAAAAATAAAAGCATCAATGAGAATAGACTGAAATATTCAGACATGATATTTCATAACTAAGGATAGCCACACCAAAATTATTGTTTGTTATAGTAGTGATTCTTCTCGTTCGATTTTCTGATAGTTGGATATTATGATCAATGACAATTGTTGGGTTGTCTCGGTAATTCGTCGTATTGTGATAGATTCTCAATGATAGAAAACAGCTAGATTGAACACAATCACAGAAAAATATATAGACAAAAAAAAAGTCAAACAGAGATCTATTGCATCGGTTTTGGTTGAGCATGGGCTATTGTATGTTTTCGAGCTGTTTCATAAAATTCATCTGGATTCTTAAGAATTTGTTGAGCTATAGCAGACACAAGAGGACTTTCAGTACTTGGATCAGCCAATAATTCGATTATTTGAAGTAAAACTTTTAAAAATAATAATATAAAAAGATCTTTATAAAAAAAAAAATTTTTATTCTACTTGTAACAATTGAAAGATTTGGTGTCCATTTTTCACCAAGAAGATCGAGACCTAGAAGATAAATAGGACAAATTAAAGAATTTAATCCATGTAAATAATGCTTACAAACGCTTCCGTCATCTTTGACTGCTGGATGATATACCGGTGTCACGAATTTAACCTAGACAAGAAAAATAAACTAATTATAATTTGCATGAAAACAACAGTCGATCAATTACTTTAGGTGGTTTAAATGGAAAATCCGTTGGCAAGTTAATATCAAGAGTAAAGATATGATCAGCATACGGTGAATTATCCTAAAAGTTAAAAAAGAAAGGAAAACGAATAAAAATAGAGATAATATTTAATTTTTTTTTGTGTTCTCTTATGCACATTATCATATTCTGAAAATATCATATGCATGACAATCCAGTAGGAAATGACGAAAATTTTCTACACTGGTATTTTTTTTTATTATCAATAAAAATAAAAGAAAATGATTGTACAGACCATCTTATTCACTGAAATTATTTCATCATCTTGCATCATTACTATTTATTCTACTTACGGGTCCAACAATCTTAGCTTCCAATTGCAAAACTAAATAGATATATAATAATAAATGATAACAATGAAAGACATACTACAAAACTCACTGTCATTTCCTTTTGGTTCTAATTTATTGACTTGAGCTGAATTTTCCTTAGCAGTTTTAAATTCCTATGAAAAACAAAATAACTTCTTACATTTATTGATTATTTCAATTTTTATTCAAATACTTTTAATAATCGTCGCTGTATTGTTGCCATCTCTCTTTAGCAATTAGAATACTATGCACAAAAACAGTACGAGTAAATTTGAATAGTAAATGAAGGAAAACAAAAAAATAATAATAGATTTGTTGCAAGAATATAACTAATATAGGGAAAAAAGCTTGTGATTGGTTAATTATATCAAGAAAAAGGATATCTAGTATTTTTAGTCGGAATAGAGTGACATCTATTGAGACTGGAATTCAAGATAATATCGTAATAAAAAATAATACAAAAAAATTCAACTGTAATGTAGTATATTCATTTCATATGGCTATTATTACTAGGTGGGTAAAAATATTATTCCAGGGGGGTAACACTATGATTTCAAATAGAAGACATAATGAATTTTATATCAAATGAAAGCTCGTCAAAAATAGGGTTTATTGATACTAAATAGGTGAAGGTTATAAAAACTTTTTAATATCGAACTTAAGAAACTTTCAGAAATTTTATACGTTTTTTGGGATGGGAAAGTAAGGTGCCAGTAATTCAAAAATCGAGTAAAATGTTTTTCTTGGATATTTTTACATGATTCGAGAGAGCTCGTCGAGATCTACAAAACTATATATATTAAAAGATTTTTAAACAGAGTTCTTGGGTTAAGACACACTGAAAACTGTCTAAAGGATGTNGTTCTATATGTGACAAATGAAATAGGTAATGAGTAGAATTATGGCGTTGCCATTAACAGTAGACATACTTCGTACGAAAAAAATCTGATCCTTAGATCTATTTTACGGACAAAGAACTGGTCACTGAGTCCAGTTCTTGGAAAAAGAACCGGTTCATTTAATTCTCAGCTGTCACAGATTTACTTTAGAGATTCTGATGGATATTTTGTTTGTCATGTAGCTGAATTGTTAATTCTGACATCGTATATGAAATGCATCTGAACGTAATATCAATTCTCTCGAAACTTTAACTTTATTTTAAGAAACTTCGTATTCCTCTTTGTTATGATAAAACAATTTGTCGACGCTATCATCGATCTCTGACAATATATATAGATACAGAAAAAAAAGAGAACATCATAAATAAGCTTTTGAATGAAGAATTTCTATGAACTGCTTCATCAAACAGCAACATTACAATAACAATAAGTTTAGATCAGAAAAAACAAAAATTACTGAATCAGCATTTACGTATATTTATGTAGATGAAAAGAAAGAGAGAAAAATAACTATTATAATTCATATCATACACTACAAAAAGAAATCAAAAGCAACTTTCCTTGCATCTGCCTACCATTTGATTCAACATGCTATCGAATTCTTAGGATGTGGATGTGATGTCTCAACTCACACCCGCACCCAACCTCGATTTTTCGCATTTGTTGCTTCTCAGGCATGCTTTGTTTCGACAACATTCGATGCTGGATGAGAATATATTAAGGATATAATATAATTAATCCCGCTATGCAGTATGCATTATGCGAGACCCTCTCATTGACAATCGGCTATACTGCTGAGAAATATCGAACATAGAAAAATTTGACAAAAAACCGTGACATAAAAAATAGAAACTTTGATGCCAAGCCAACGCGACTAAAATCGAATCGGCAATAGTTGAATGTTGCGCAACATCAAACACATGTGTCTTTTGCTCTTAACAGTCTTTTCAAGCATGTAATAACCCTAAACAGACTCTCATTTTCACTTTTCACTAATGTTATCGTGATGTATGCTAAAATGACGTCACAATGAGGGTGAAAACATGAGTTTTTCATAGGCTGCATAAAATACGAGATAAGATCTTTTACGGCATCATCGTTCTCCTTCTCCTCTTTCGCCTTGTACGACATTACACAACGCTTTCGTGCATTTGCAAATAACTGAAGATGAAACTAGTTCTTACTTTTCTTATACTTGTTGTCAGTCTGGTAAGGGGTGCTGATAGAACACATGCTAATGCCGAAATGTTTCTCGCTGGAACAAATGATTTTATTGGAACAATTAACTTTTACGAGGAGGAAGAAGCTTGGGGTGTTGTCATTTCTGGTTCTGTTAATCGTTTGCGACCTCTGGCACAATTGGTAAGTATATTGCTTTACGTTGATTGACCAATAATTTGAAGAGAAATCACGATGCGAACCCATGTTCGCCAAAAAAAGCTGGAGTATCAAACTTCTGCGAAACAACATTTAAAATGTTTGGAAGTATCGTCAATCCAGTTTCAACTCCTCCTTGGCAAGAGATTATTGCGAAAGTTTCATCTCAAGAAATTACGAGGAAAAATTTCGGATTAGTGTAGTGGTTACTTTCGAAAGTAAACGAAAAAATGACTCACCACCATTGATTTAGAACTTCTCGTAGAACAAATCTATTTATCCTCAGATGCTCATTATGAATCAAAACCGTTTCATAAAAACCATAAAAAGCTTTCGATCTATCAAATATTAACTTATGTGTTGGTGTCGACTATAAGAAACCTGGAGTTCATTGATACCTCTAAGTCTGCAGATCTTCATGTCTAGTAATATTTTACATGAATTCCGAGACATTTACCCACAACTTCCAAGCTTCTGTTGGTTCGAAAATCCTTGAAGACTTTCGAATTATGTTCGAGCACAACGTAATGCATCAGTGAATGCAATAACGACGTTTTCCAAATACAATCTAAGATTTCTCCTGACGAAAATTCAAAATAAGCTAGGTTTTTATTAGGGTTTCCATATCCATTCTCAACCCATTGGAGACAATCATAATTGTACAGCTGGTGGTGCTCATTACAATCCTTACAGTAAGTTGATTTCTCTATAATAGAGCAATGACTATCATATTTAAACTATTATGATAGATGTGTCTCATGGAATGCCTAGAGATCCACTTTTGGAACGACACGTCGGCGATCTCGGCAATATTGAAACTAATGCTGATGGTAGAGCCTATGCAGGATTGGTTGATCGAATCATTTCGCTTAGATCTAATGACACAAGAAATGTTATTGGTTTACCTCTTATGATCCACAATTTGACTGATGATGGAGGTCATACTGGCAAAGGCGAAAGTAACACCACCGGGTAAGTGTGCATAGAGTGACGTATCATTTTTCTCTATTGACATGTTCATCAAATTTGTAGAAATGCCGGTCCTCGAATAGCATGTGGAACAATACGTCTTGGTTGAATAATGTTTTTTTCATGCTCTTAAGTTTTGATTGATGTATCAGTTTACTAAAGTTTTCTTTTCTAAAATTTATATTTCTCTTAGCAAAACAACAGAATATATTTTAAAATGCAAAAAGACAGAAGATGACTTTGAATCATACATGTTTTTCTTCTCTTTTGACTCATCTTGGTCAGATCATTATACATACGTACTCTAATTATTGATTGATCAGCAAGTGATCTCGAAATGATATGTTGAAGAATAATAAATATTATTTGAGTCAATTATATGGAACATTGTTCTATCATTTCTCGACGAGGAAACGTACACGACGAATAAGCTGTTTGATATGATATTAGTATTCATTGTCAGTTTTCTCAATAGAAAGCACTATGTCGTAAGTTAGAATCATTTATCCGCCACAAGAATATAATCTCAATTTGTTACCTTCTTGCTGAAGATATTGTTAAGTTGGAAGATGTAAGTGTGGGTATGGGTGGTGTAGGTGAGCGGCTCTGGGCCTGGATAGTATCTTCACAGATTCACATCCATATCCACACCCCACCCTTCTTTAAATTCTCAAACAATGAAGAGTTGTTTAAACTTATTATAATATTCTGGTTCAAAAAAAGAAGCCAATTCAACAAATTCACTGGCAGTCGGTTTTATCCAGCAACGATGAGAATGCGTGTTTATTGACTGGGAGGATTTCTCTGATTCGTATGCATGAATTGAATTAGATTACACATATATGGTCAAGGACTAAACAATTGTATTGATACCTGTTCCTACAATCGAATAAATAAAAATCTCTTTGTTTATATTATGGATCAAATTTTATATGAAATTTCAAAATTTTCATACACAATTTCTTATAGAATCACACGATCAGATGATTAATCGGATAGCAACAAGTTAATGTCACTCTAACACCAAAAGATATTCGAATTTCTCAAGGTTACAAATTAATTTTCTATGAATGTTTTATCATGGGTTAATAATCTATCAGTAACATTTATTTCGAAAAATAAGCATTGATATTTTGCAGATCAATATTCACAACAGTTCAGAGACAAACAATCAAAGGTTATATATTTATCAAAGACATCTAATTTCCTAAACAACTACTTCCAGTCGACTCATTGCCAATGGTGCTTTATAATATGCCGTTTTTGAACGTTTTGAAAAATCTTAGACAAGAAATAGACACTAAATCTCAATGCAATCCAGCGATGGCACTGGATGACTTTCCTTTGTTTGATCATTTTGTTTTGATGTCTTCAACTAATATGATCATTTTTGAAAACTCGCACTTATTTATATAAAAACAAAAATATATGGAAAAAAAATAATAAACCAGATTTTTTAATGTTATCGATATTGCACTACAAGATGATCATATTCGTTTTTGCCTAACTTAATACATCCAAATCGAACCCATTCTCTTAAAAGAACAACGGTGAATGAGCGGCATCACACTTTGGAAACACTTTACGACGATAATTGCTCGGTTATATTTGTCAAGGATAGTTTCTTTTTTTCTATGGATGACAGTGGTAGAAACTTTTAAATGAAATTAATTTTTTTCCGATGTTTTTCATTTCTCCAAGTTGTATTCCTATTGGTTGAGAAAAGCCATCGCTTTTCAGAAAAGTTGTGTGGTAACTACAAAAGAAATTAAAACTAGCATCATTTTCTTTGGTGAATAAGTAATGCCAGATAGAAACAGTCAGTTTTTCTCTATTATTTTACAGAATAATTATTAAAGTGTCTTTCTGTCGATTTACTTGCAATGCTACCAGAAGTATATAGAAAAGCAATAATTCATTCCTTGGTGTCATCAAGTAATTTCAATATGATACAAACGAGATTCACGTTCTTCAGGAATACACTTTTTCATTTAAGTTCTACTTTTCAGATTTTCATGGCTCATGAAGATCATAATACTCTAGGAGAAGATTCTTATAGATTGACTCTTGGTAGTCGGAGAAATATTTTGTGTTCGAGATTTTAATGTGTTGAAGCTACGATTAGTTCAACTCATGCTTTAATGCTCTCTATTGGGCCATTCAACTTCATCAATCAAATCGAGGATTGAGATACGAAATTAAAGCTCATGAGAAACACAAGAAAAAGACCTGTCACATGGTATGAAACAAACATATTCTCCATGACGAAAAAATTTTTTTAATTTCAAGACAAACTTCTAAAGCCAGTCACTCTCGAACAGTTGATCATTTGAGGTTGGAAATTTTAGAAATTTTGAGAATATTTCTACATAGCGAGGAAACTTAATTTTTATTCAGATGCGTTTAAATAAATGCAAGTCATCGTTCGACAACACTTACAAACAGAAAGACACACTGAGCATCCAATATATCCATATGTAGTCTTTGCCTCTTCCAATTCTTTTACTTTACAGTAGCTTCTGTTTATTGTTAGTTATTAAGTTCGGAAAAAATCCATTTTTTCTTGGTAAATGTATTCCTCGTAATTATGTTGTCCCACTTAGTGTTCATATATTGCCTCTATTGGTTGTTCATCCTCTTTTAAGCATATCACTCATTATTTTTTGAGATTCCTTTCAGTTGACTTATTATTTTGTTTCTCATTCTTGATTTCTCTTTCTATGTCAAATGTAGATGATTGTTTAGCATAATGGAGTTCAGTAGCCACTGAGAGTCATTCTCTATGTATGCATTTCTACGATAACTTTTCACGCTGCGTTTTAACAAGCTATTTGGCTACGTCAGTAGTCGATGTTGCATACTTTTTGTATGATCAAAAGAACACAACTATATGGTGAATTCAAGGCATCTTCTCCAAAATCATTTTAGGCAAAGTACATTCAAATTGCATAGAATTTTCAGAGCGTGTTGATTCTTTTATGGAGATGTTATAGTAAATTTTCAGCCGAATATGACGAAGTTCTTGAGATACATCTGTTATATAGTATTGCATAGTAGCTCTTTCGGTCGCCCTGAATTTCCTGTGGGTCTTATTCGGAAACATATAGTTCCTATCTTTTAGTAGAAGACAAGTATAGATGCATGGCTTCACACAGCCCTTTTGTGAAACACAATTGAAAATGAATGTTGAAGTTTAGAGCAAGAAAATAGAACCCACCCACCCTCCTCTTCTTACAGACGATGACATAGATGTTGCATCCTATTATGACTTTTTTCTAGCATGCGTTATCATATGTTTTTGAATTTTCGACCTGGAATTTTTTATTTTTAGATTGTGAATCGATTTGAAATCCCGAAATACGAAAAGTCTATTTTTCTGTTGAAATGAAGTAGATGAACTCTGATTAAACACTGTTGTAGACACTTAGAGATGATTCTTTAATGTACTTCTGACAAAATCGAGATGAGTATAAAGCTTTTTTCTTATCTTCATATTTACTATAAGTTTTCATCTATCTATTATAGCCATATTTTCTGATCGACAACTCATAAGTGCTTTACAAATTTATATCACTACGTTAAAAAACCATCAGTGTGTCCGTTCCAGATATTTGTCGTTAGAGGTTTGAACTTTGCAAGCAAGAGCCCCACATCTAACACACACATATATAAGAGAGAGCAATGCAGAGGGAGACAGTGAAATCAGCACAGGAAAGAACAAGACAGAGACAGTAAAAAAGGTAAAGAGAAAAGTAAAAATAGGAGAAGGTGATCATGATGTTGAAAGAATGATTTCCTTTACATATTTAAATTCAAACATAAGAATCATCATCTTGTTTCATCTCATAAAATCATAAAAACGCACATTTTTACAATTTCGTTTTCTTTCAAGATGTTTAATAGGGTTTTATTCGTTCGATTTTTGCATTGAGTGTATCTCTCAGAGAGAACAATCTTATTCCATATATCTCGATTACTTAGAGTAGAATAAAGATCAATACTTATAAGAATTCAATCATGTTATCATCTTCTAACAAATGAGTTATTATAGTCCATTGTTTTTAAATTCAGCTTGAATTTTGACTTGTTTTCAGTTTTGATGTTTTCGCTTTTTTCTATTTTTTTTTGTACGCAATAAAAGATACTTATTATGCATCACGACTATTGTCATATAGAGGTCACGACCCACTACAATTAACCATATTTTAAAAGGTGACAGCTGTTAGTAAATAAAAAAGATAATTTATTTTATGCATCTATAACATTTGTCTTATTTTGAGTTTTTTTTATACCATTGTGAAATGTTTCTTATATTTTTCCTGTTTGAATATTTACTTATATATAGTAGCTATTGCTTACTACCAGTGCTTTAATTAACTTTTTGTATTCGCGTAGTTATAAGAGGAATGTATCTTGATTTATCCATCGATTGTCCACTAGTGATAGTTTTGAACGTTATGGTTGTCAGATGAGATAGTCAGAAAAACAAGTATATTTACTAATAGACGCTGGGGTAGCGTATTAACATGCACGTTTATCAAAGGAACTTATAGATCATATTAAGAATGCGAAGAATGATGGACAACTCAACAAAAAAGGTGATGATAAATATGATGATATTAATATAGGACAAGACGAGAACATTGAGTAAATGTCATTAAACACAAATCCCATGGACAGGATTTTTGGACTTGGTGATTACAGTATTTGATACAGATTAAATAAAGAATGTTACTCTACTTTATAAAGCCGGTTTTATCTCTGTGAAATATATAAATTTAAAAAGCTTATGTCACACTTTTTTGTATATAAATTTTCTTTCAACCGTTTCATAAATTCACTTTTATGATCTATTGATGACGTTGTATCATGCTATTGTTTCCTCTTGGAAATATCGAAGTATAGTAATTAAATAATCAAAATTCTTTTCCGAAGAATTAAGATGTTGATGAACCGTTAAGACCATAGAAATCTATAAAAACGAGCAAAACAGGCGGGCTTCAAAGCCATGAAAATAGATCAACAACATTTCGGTGAAGACCGACCAATTTTCAAGTGTCAATCGGGCTGGTCCGGCTCCAAGCCTGAGGTGTGGTGGTGGGTATGGGC